ATTTTATTTTATATATTTATTATGAATTATTATTTACTTTATTAGTGTGTTAAAACTTATATTTATTTGACCAGTAGCTGTTATAACTATAATGTTATATATATGGTCAATATGAGAAAAAGATAAGCAATCTAATTTTATATTTCTACATGAGTGTGTCTATATATTCTTCTATTCTCTTTTTAAAATATTTTGAGTATTATAGTTAATGAGTATATGTATATTTTTTAGGATTATATTTCATTAGTATATGGGCAACGAGACGTCGACATGGTTACCCGTTTTCCTTCAGACGTGCCTAGAGGAGACATCGCCTACAAGCTCTTGGGTTGTATCTTGGAGCCATTACTACCGCCAATACCCACACATGGGAAGGAAGTATCGACTTTAGGGCATTGCATTACATGCCTCTCAATCTCAAAGGCCTGTTTTCCTTACTGTTATCAAATTTAACTCTACTCTATTTATATATAATTATAATTATATTATTTACCTATTCAAGTTGATAATACTTATATCCTTATCAATTTTATGCTTCCATTCCATATTGAAAAGTAATGTTTCATTTCATATTGTGAGTTATGTATTTTCAAAATGTTAATAAATATAAATGAGAATTTTTATATTTCTGTAAAATCCCCAACAGTAGATTCTTTCCATTCTTTAACCATCCTAATTTATAAGCCACGTGATAAAACTGAATAGGAAATAAATGAACAATACTTAGGTCCTCACTAGTGAGGATTTACACCATACTGACCGTTGATGTGGACCAATAATATATTGACACATTCTATTTTAATTACTAAATTATAGATGTTAATCAAATTACTATCTCTAATTTGGTAGGTAGGTATCTACCCACTATATTTGATTTGGTAATTAAAGATGACATGTTCATTTATTATTGGTCCATATCAATGGTCAGTAGGGTGTAGATCCTCACTAATGAAGACCTAAGTATTGTTCGAAATAAAAGAACAATACTTAGGTCCTCACTAATGAGATTTACACCATATTGACCTTTGATGTGGACCAATAATATATGGACACATTCTATTTTAATGACCGAATCATGGATGATAATCAAATCATTATATCTGATTTGGTAAGTGGGTATCTATCCACTATATTTGATTTGATAATTAAAGATAACATTTCCATTTATTATTGGTCCACATCAGCAGTCAGTATGATGTAAATCTTCACTAGTGAGAACAATACTTAGGTCCTCACTAGTGAGGATTTACACACCATTAATATGGACTAATAATATATTGACACATTCTATTTTAATTACCAAATCATAGATGGTAATCAAATCACTATCTCTGATTTGGTAAGTGGGTATCTACCACTATATTTGATTTGGTAATAAAAGATGACATGTCTATTTATTATTGGTCCACATCAGCAGTCAGTTACACCATACTGACCGTTAATGTGGACCAATAATAAATAGATACATTCTATTTTAATTACCAAATCATAAATGGTAATCAAATCACTATCTCTGATTTGGTAAGTGGATATCTACCTACTATATTTGATTTGGTAATTAAAGATAGACATGTCCATTTATTATTGGTTCACATCAGTGATCAGTATAATAGATCGATATGAACATCATGAGTTATCCCGTAATAAAACCAGTTGTTGCTGATACCTTCTTCTCGGTTCCTTCTTCCATAGTTTGAGCTCGTAGAAGGAAGAGATAAGATGGCCCTATGGAGAATGTGGTTAGAAATCCATAATAGAGTTTGACCACAACGACCGAATTGATTATCTTCATGCATAGGGATACTAGATTACCTAGTAGAAAAGATTTTAAAATCATCACAAACCTCCCTTTTTCTTTTCTATTGCAATTTTTGGATTATTATATGATCCTCACTAGTGAGAACCTAAGTATTGTTCGAAATAAAAGAACAATACTTAGGTCCTCAGTGAGGGTTTACACAACACATTCTATTTTAATTATCAAATCATAAATGTCAAATCACTATCTCTGATTTGGTAAGTGGGTATCCTACCCACTATATTTGATTTGGTAATTAAAGATGACATGTCTATTTATTATTGGTCCACATCAGCGGTCAGTATAGATGTATAAGGAAGGTGTTTTCTGTTCTTACTATAATCATCTTTACACACAAAATTATATTTATGAAAGTTTTCCATCTCTATACGACTGGGACAATATTGAAGTTATAATTTGATTCACTTTCTTTCTGTTTAAGCTTTCTAATTTAATTTGTGCAATCTTAATTTTGAATTAGTTGTTTACAATTTGACTCTTAAAACCTCATTGTGAATAATCTTTTCAGAGAGAGATATGGGTAAATTTGTAGAGAGATAAAAAGTAATTTCAGTGATATGGAGAAAAGAAAATTTAGACCCAAATATTAGATGGAGAGAAAGTGAAGATGAATCAGATAAATATGTTAATTTTTAAAGAGAGATGGAGATGAGAGAATTTCACAGAGAGAGGGACGAGAGAATTTCAGACCTAAATCTTAGAGAGAGTAAGCCTGTTTAATCTCCTACTTCAGCGCTGAATACAGAAGACGGTAAGTGATTTTTAAAAATAAGCATGTTTGATAAAATTTTAGGATACAGCTTAATATGGTAATTACCGCTTAAAAGAGGCTAAAATTTTAAGCGAGAAGAGGGTTACTTATAGCTTATCACAGAAGACAGTAAGTGGTTAGGTTTTAAAACTATTTTTTTAATGACTACTCTACCCTCAAATAATCACGCTCTCTTCTAGACTTCTTTTTGCAATTTTTTTAAAATTCTCTTTTCGGTTTCTCTCTACATTTGGAAATAGTGTGAGTTCTGTCGTTGAAAAACTCTTCTATATATATTTGGATGGTTGTTACTTTTTTTCTTTTCTTTTCTTTTCTTTTTTTTACTTTTACATTATAGAACAAATTCTTTAAAAAATATATAATTTTACCAAATTCCCAAAATAATAATAATAATAATAATAATTCTAAATATTATATTATAAACACGTCTCTTTATTTACCTATTCAAATTGATTTAACACCACTATTTATATAATAAAATTCTATTTCTAAATAAGAATTATTTTTCACTTACTTTCTTTAATATTTTTAACATCCTTTTCGATACCGTGCATAAATATTATATCATCCAAAGCCCATATATTTTAAATTTTATATCACTTATTTATATAATAAAATTCTATTATTAGATAAGAATTCTTTTCAATACCATACATAAATATTATGTAATCAAAAATCAATATAATTTAAATTTTACGTTCTTTAATCTTTGTAACACCTTTTTCGATATCCTACATAATTATTTAACAAATATTATATAATCCAAATCCATATATTTTAAATTTTACTTTCTTTAATCTTTATAGCACCTTTTTCTAGGGTTGGGCAAAAAATCCGCCAATCCACGAACCCGATCCGATTTGATCCGTACGGATCGGATCGGTGGCGGATTCTAAAAAAGTGAATCCGTAGTTCATGGATCAGATCACGGATTAGGCTGTCAAAAATCCGATCCGATCCAGGGCAATCCGTGGGTAATCCGTAATATATATATATATATATATATATATATATATATATATATATATATATATATATATATATATATAGCAACTCTATCTATCCGTAGCAATCCGTGTGCTACCCCTTTTTTTTCACTTCACTGCTAGTCTGCTACTTCCTTTTTTCTTTTCTTTTTTCACTTCACTGCTACTTTTGGACCTTTGGTTATGTAATATTTGCCTATTTGGTTTACTGCTACTTTTGGACCTTTGGTTATGTAATATTTGGCATATGGATCTACTATCCCTTTTTTTATTTCACTTCACTACTACTTTTGCTTGCTACTGTTATGTAATTTTGGCATTCTAGTCCTACTATTTTTTCGGATAATATGGAAAACTACTATCCTTTTGGTTATGCAATATTTTACAGTTTGACTATTCTTGTTATTATGCATTTAAATTGGGTTAATCTATGTTCTATTATACACTTTTGTAATTGGATATGAAATTGATAAAAAATTAAAAATAGACTAATTTGGAAAATCCAGTCCGCGGATTGGATCCGATCCGATCCGTGATTTCACAGATCCGATCCGATCCGATCCATGAACTAATGGATTGGTGGCAGATTCAAAATCTCCTAATCCGTTGTGAGCGGATTGGATTAGAATTGATGCCTAATCCGATCCGTGGCCACCCCTACCTTTTTCGATATCCTACATAAATGTTATGTAATCCAAAATTCATATATTTTAAATTTTCATCAATTATTTATATAATATAATTCTATTTCTAGATAAATAAAAAAAATTAATTGATTATTTGACATTATTATTGATTGTTAAATTGATATATTTAATGAGGTTATTTTATTAATATTTTTATATTATAAATCTAAAATTGTTATGAATGCCATATATGGAGGGCAAAAATGTAATATGTACAAATATCAGACTTTAGCTTTTGTATATAATAAACAATCTTAATAAATTCAGTTCTTAAAAGTAAAATATTATCAAACAGGTTTTCAAATTAATACATTCAGCACTTAAAACTTCAGCGTTTAAAATTCAGTATTTAAGATTTTTAGTGCATAATTTTCAGTTTGATCAAACAACAAGTGAAGAGAATTTAAGAGAGTTGAGAGATTTTAGAGTGAAAAAGTTAATGAGAATTTTAGAAAGAGAAATATCGATTTCAAAGAGAGAGATTGGTGAATTTTCGGGAGAGAAAACATGCAGGGCATAAAATGAAAATAAAATTATATAAGAAGGTTAAATTTGTAATTTGTAAATAACAATTAGTATGTTTTTAAATTTTACAAAAATTAAATTTGTCAATTGACAATCTCGGGGACAGAAATGGGATAATGTTTGAAATTGTTTGATTTTAGTGGATTTTTTTTTCTAGGGCACAAATTTAATAGTCAGAGGGGCGATTATGTGATTTTACCCCTAAAATAAATTCATAGCGATTCTAGGGCAAACACAAAGTGGTGTATCAAAGGCCGACAAGGAGAGAGTAACAAGCAGCAGAGCCGACGGCAGTTCATTGCCCCCCCTTTAGCCGATCGGATGATGTCTCGTCGCCTACCTGCGCTGAATCCGGCCACATTTTGCAGAATCTTAGGTGGTGGTGGTGGTGGTTTTCTGTCTTCCGTCCGATTGTTGAGTGAGTTTTGTCCTCGTCCTCCTCCTCAGGCGGCAACAGCAACAGCAACAACTACAGTTGATGAAGAAAAGTTTGGATCACTGTTGTCCTCACCGTTGATGATTGTACCACCCTTCAGTAAAACAGAGGAGGAATATGATGATGACTACAATGATTATTTTCACTTCTTCAGGGTTGCTGACCAGAAGAAATACCGAGTGAGGAAAAATCTAGGGCTCGCGTGGCAAAGAGAGTACCTCACACCAGACAATGCCGCCTGTATTGGCTCCACTCATGGCTGGCTCGTCTTTCTCGACCCTCGCAATGGCTACCTCTATCTATTAAATCCCTTCATCAAGCACCAAAACTTTTCTTCTCTTCATAATCATAATCATCTCCCATACATACCCCTACCTTCTTTGGAAACCCTACCGACCGTGAAGGGTATGCGTGTTCTGAAATCAGATAACCTCTCCCCCTCCACTTCTCTAGTCAGAGACTTCCTTATGACCTTCTTTGACCAAACGAACGAGCACAAATCACCTCCCTCCGAAACAGTAGCTCTTCGTACCATACACGATGTTGTTTTGTCATCATCGCCATCATCTTCTCCTGATAATGATCAATGCACCACCACCACGACGGCGGTGATGAACTATGGTGGGGATTTATATTTCTGTAAACTCGGGGTGGATGAGAGATGGACTCTCTTGAGCAACGACATTAGCTACAACCGTTGTTGTGACGTTATATATTTCAGCAAAGATGGACGTTTTTATTCCTCGGGCAACCATCACGAATATCATCAACTCGAAGCTTGGGATCTCACTGATCATTCCTGTCCTAAACATCAACTCATTGACCCCACCTTCTCTAATCCACGGACGATCCCCGATATTCCTAAAACTTGGCATGATTCTTTTGTGAAATATTTGGTGGAATCCTCGGGGGATCTTCTACTGGTTTTCAGGATTTTTAATACAGAGTTCGTTCCAGGGGGAAAAGAAAAAGATCCCATTGACCCGCCAAAGTTTCACAGGACCTTGAGATTTGTTGTTCATAAGTTGAATTTTAAGCTGAATAAGTGGGAACATGTAAAATGCTTAGATGATCGCTCATTATTTGTGGGTTATAATCATTCGTTCTCTCTTTCAACACGTGATTATCCAGAGCTTAGAGGGAATTCGATCTATTTCACAGAAAATTATGAAGAATTGCTTCTCATGTGCAATACAGGTCATGATAATGGGGTCTTCCACTTAGACGATAACTCCATCAATTATTATCGTACACGTGATTGGAAGTGCACTGAACCACATTATCTTCTGGTACCATCACCTGTTTGGATTTGCGATGCCCAAAATAATGTACGGTAGCAAGCTAGCCATATCCTTCTGTCTTGATGATCCACTCAGAGGTGAGGTATGTTCTCCCTTTTCCTACATTCTAGGTGCATACACAGACTGGCACACATATTGTGATGATTACCTTTTGGTCACACTTAATATTATATACTTGATGTGCTTCTACTCATAAATAGAGATATATCATTGTCTGTATTGATTTCAATTTTCCGTTGCCCTCAATAGAGATATATCATTGTCTGTATTGATTTTAGTTTTCCATTGAAAACTAGGAGTAAAGGAAATTTTGCTAAATGTTTCATTGCTAAACTACAAGATTAATCTAAAGCTTAGACCTCTCATTTTTCCTGAACCCACCTTGGTCAATCTCACAACATCCCTTTCAACATTAACCTTTTTGAAGCCCTGTCACACCGAGCTCCAGTTGACAAAATCCTAGGAAGCACAGACACTTCGTCAGAGGTGCCAGGGCGGTGTCAGACACGGACACGCCGGGGACATGGCCGGACACGTGTTTGCCACCGCAGCAAGAAGTGTCCACATTTAAATGATTATTCTAGTTAAACCTTTTTAGCCTTGTCCAAATCAAGAACAATATTTGAGTTCACGAATTTAGGGCGAATTTGCTCTCAATTCGCCAATTCGCGCGCGGAGCGTGGGAACAACTACCCCTTTAACGAATTATGTGACTTAGGCCACCCCCATGGTAGCAAAACCAGAAAGCAGCTCTGTTCTAGAAAGGAAAAAAAAAAATGGAAGAGAGGGGGTACAGTGGGGCCCAGGCTCGGGATTATTGGAGGGTTGCGCACCTTTGCTTCTGGTGGTGCTTATGGTTAGAAAGGAATAGGAGATTTTTTGGGCGATTTAATACAATCTTATTTATAAAAAAAAAATGGTTTGAAACAACCCAGGCTTCACGGATCCACTGGAATCTTGAGTGATCTCCGAGCACCCGAAATTCGTCAATGGAGGTAAGGGTTTTTTGCTTGTTTGGTAAAACTGCTATTTGTTCTTTGACCACTAGAAATATAAGTATTTTAAATCAACAATATAATATAATTATTCACTCTCTATCTCTTCCCATCTTCTCCATCCAAACCAAAAATTCAAACCCCTCCCCTCTAAGTCTCTCTCTATAAATACACCCTCTCTTTCTCTCACCTCATTTGCTCCAAAACCAACGTTCTTCGCTCTCTCTCTCTCTCTCTCTCTCTCTCTCTCTCTCTCTCTCTCTCTCTCTATAACAGAGCTGCTTTCTCCGTCTTTGCTACCATGGGGTGGCAGATTTATCTTTATATACCAATCTACACATTTAAAAAATTGCCAGTGTTTCTCTCTTCGAGAGGTTGCTCAAGCTCGAAAGGTCACAGTGATTTGCATTGTTGCGTCCAAGTTAGCTTATCTCCAAACCCCATACTCTCCGACGTATAGAGTAAGAAATATGAATTTTTTTTAAATGAAGGCCAAATATGTAATTTCATAATCATCTTAACTTTTTTTAGTTTGAGGAGGTTTTTTAATTGATTATTTATCAAAGTCACATCTCATTAACATATTATTTTAGGCCCATATAAGACGTCCTTTTAATAAAAAAAAATCATAACTATTAAAGGCCTAATCCTCAACCTCCAAAGCTTCCATATCTAGGAAAAAGAATTATTGTTTTACTAAGTGATACATAAGCTTGTGTTTTCCCAGCAAGGAGAAAAATTATTCACAAATTCTTTAGCTAACTTGCCAACAGATGTTGTATATTACTCTTCTAGAAAGGAAATTTTGTTCTCGAATTTTATCATTAGATCATCTTACAACCTATATTTGCACTTCATATTGATGCAGGACGGATAGGGCTGCTTCGATACCAAAATTAATGTAGAATGAGAGAGAAAAAGAGGAGAGAAGAAGAAAAAGAAAGGGAAGGAAGAAATCACAGTAATCAATCTCGATAATATTTAATAAACATCAAAAGGTGGTTTCTTAATGACTCAAACCACATACATATAAGCACAAGTATAGAATTCTAATAATATGATACTACAAAAATTAAAACCCTCAAAAACTATATTACTGAAATATCCTACAATTAAAGCATTACTAAAATAATAATAATTAATGAAAATCAACTTTGATTATCTATCCTTTTCCCGTCACTTGCATGTATATCATATACAAAATCATAAGGTTTTCTATCAGTGACCTCGCCATTATCTCATTACACCATTCAGGTTACACGGCTACACAACTTAACTCATTTCACCATGTGAAATCATATTGTTATTCTAAAAACTATCTTGGTGTGGAACAAACCTTAAATCATGAACACATAACATGTCATGAAGGTAATCAATCAAGTAGAGAAAGTTAAAACTATAACAATCAATCATTCATTTTTCTATGCTAAGTCATATAATTATCTTGTCACTACTTTTATATGAAGCCGTTAAACTATAATTTCAGTCTATCGATAAAATCCACAAAATTCTCCACACATTTACAAGTGTGCCCATTAACCCAAAAGAATTAAAGAACTCATAATTACGTATTTGTGAGACAAAGTAGGAGTCTCCTTGCCATCAAACGATCTCATATTCTGCTTGCTACAAGCCCCACCATATTCTTCTCTTCCTCTCTGCTATCCATTGCACACCCTCTCTAAGCCTTGATCATGTCAATCGGAAAACACCCAAATCATGTCGAACAGTGCCAAAAAGATCAACCACACAAATATACCGCCACTGGACAATGAAAGAGGTGCAAATTCTCGCAGGTATAGGCACTAAGATTGTTAAGACTTATTGTGCTGAATTTATAATGATTTTGATATTTGTTGGGTGCAAGTTTTCTTAGGTTTACATTTGAGAAAAGATTCTACTGTAGATCCTTTGTATTATCATTGAGGATTCTAGAAAGTTTGTAGAGAGTTATGTAATATTTACGATATTTTAGAGAAGTGTTTTAGTGAGATGATGTCAGTTATTGAGTAAAATGTATCCCAACCCACCATTAGTTAGGATGCCTATATAAAGGGTAGGAGTCTCCAACGGCAACCGCTCAGTGGTGTCTAAAATTTGATCGAGTGGTGACATCTCATGTATTTTTTTAATAACACTGTTGATGAGTGCCCTCAAGGTTAGTGGGAGCAAATTAATCTTTGTGGTTTTACCTTTGAGCGGTTGCCATTGGAAAGGGCGACAAACTTAAAAAACGACGATGTCCTAGAAGAGGAAACCATTTGCAGTTTGTGTAATTAAGAGATTTCAAACTAATCCTGGTTCTGAGCATTGGGTGGCAGCAAAGAAAGTCCTATGATATTTGCAAAGAACCAAAAATGTTATGCTTACTTGTATAGTAAGGGTGATAGTATGTGGTGTATGGATAGGAAGACACTGATTTTGTACGTTGTCCAACATTTGGTTACATATTTTTGTGTGTCGGAGGTGGTGTTATCTCATGGAAAAGTCTTGAAACAACCCTGTATTGCTTCATCTACCATGCAAGCTAAGTTTGTAGCCTGTTATAAAAGCCATTTGGCTTAAGAACTTTATTAAAGGTATTCATATAGTAAGAACTTTATTATAGGTGTATACTAGACTTAATTACTAAGCCATGAAGATATTTTGCAATTATAACTCTGCACTGTTTTGTTCCAAGAACAATAAGAGGTCTTTTGGTTCCAACTTCCAAGCATAAGGATATTAAGTACTTGTGAGGGAGAAAGTGAGTGAATAGCAAACAGTGAGACTGAGGCAATGATAGCAACCCATAACTGAAGCTTACCCGTTGGGTATTCAAGAATCATGTAATTAACATGAGTATGGTTGATTATTTTGATATACTTGAATGGTGGGAGTTTAATTTATTTGCTTTCATTTCATGATATTCATAAAAAGTTTGTAGTGGTGTATTCTTTTATGGATATTTGGTAACTCAAGAAGTCTTGGATCATTATTATTCAAATTTATATACATGAATATTCTATTTGAATGGTGGAACTTATATTTTTTTGTTTTCATTTCATGGCATTCATAAGAAGTTTGTAGTTTTATCTCTTATGGATATTTGGTAACTCATAAAGTTTTGGATCATTAGTTTCGAGAAGAGATACAAAGTGTTTTTTTTCCTTAGTTACTCACACACACATGCCTCCACTGAGGCTTGGCTTGTTGGTGAGATACAAAGTTTGAAAGACTACATTTGCATGACATTTGGGATAAAGCTGGATTTCTATCATGCCTTGTTACATATCATAAGGTTATTGAAGACATATAAAGTCAAAAGGCATGGTTGTCTTGAATTAAAGACATAAAGGCTTCAAGTTTGAAACATAAAGGGTTTTGTACAAACCGTAAACTTGGACTAAAGATGGTGTAACATAAATAATCACATAAAGATGCATCTCTCTGTTATATGTATTTCATTTGTTGGGGCTCTATGTGTATAATGGTGATGGTGTGATTAAATTTACATAAGCCTCTATGGTTCGCATTAATAGTATTATTTGACACGGGCTTGTGGACCTACTGGTCACCCCTCCAAGCCTCAATCGTACTGAGTGGGATTTGAGGCATAACCCACTGAACTCGAACAAAATCAAGATCAATTCCAACTATCCCTAGTGTTACAAGGGAAGTCTTGTCCCACATCGGATCCGGATGGGAAAGTAAATGGGTATGTATATGTGTTGGGTGTGAGCTCCACCTAATAGCTTAAGTTTTTGGATCAAATTGCGAATCACCTAGCTCGTTACAGTTGGTTATAGAGCCAGACCAGTCCTTGGTCAGGTGTCACGCCAAGTGCCCGACCAGAGGTGTCCGGGTCAGTCTACCCGAGTAGGCAGGGTGGCCCGATGGCAATGAGGGCATTGCGAGTTCGGGTGGGGGAGAATGTTACAAGGGATTCTTGTACATGGGATCTAGATGGAAAATAAATGGATATACATGTGTTGGGTGTTAGCCCCAGTTAATAGCCTAAGTTTTTATGTCGGATAACGAAGCACCCAGCCCGTTGCACCTAGCCACAAGCCAGTGCAAAGCAAAAAAGGCCGCCACCTTAAGAGGTGCCTTCATGCGCCAAATGGCTTTTTATGGAAAAGCAAGCCTCGGTATATCTGAGAGGACCCTATAGAACGAGCGCACATCAAACCTCCCCTGAGAAGATAACATCCACACACTACCGTCTGCAACACCACTCACCACCTCCTGGCGATACATCTCCAATAATCTAAGGAAAATCACCCACCTCCCAATCTTGAAAATGCTTCAAAAGTGCACATCCCAAGTCGTCCTCCCGCTATCGAGCCTATAACAGTCACCACCAAGGCGCCCATCTGAAGCAGTCAGGAAAAGTTTAGAAAAGGAGCATGCCAACAAAAAGTCACCACATAAAGTGTCCGCCCAAAACCAGAAACCCCTGCCGTCCCTGACCCTCAATGTGATATTTTTATCTATATACTCTTACATATATGCTCAATAAGGTTATTCTAGCCCCGTTAAATAGACGTATGAGCGAAGGTGGAGAGGGTGGAAGATTAGAGCTAAAGGTTCTTTCCTTCCGAATTATTTAAACAATGGCTTTTGCATGTATGTTTAATAAGTACGCTTATAGTGTGTTTCATGCATGTGTACAAGTTTCTATTTTCCTTGTTCAAATATGGATTTCCAAATTAGGTTTACACATCTTCCTTGTTAGTTGTTCTATTTAATCTATGTTACTGTATGGGCTGTTGAGCAGAATCTGTCATTTATTTCATGGTGGTTTAAAACTACTTATTTAGATTCATTATTTATACACACACAGACACACACATTGTCTTTAGTTTAGCAGATGATATAGTGTAGATCAATCTGGACTTTCATGAACTCCGATGTTCACTACACTTCCTTTCTATATATCTCTCACAGACGTAAAATTCACGTGTTTCACTCAAGGACGGTGTATATATATTACTACACCCAGGTAGCTCACTTAAAATATACTAAACAAGTTATATATATATGTGATGCAGATTGTTTGTACAACGGGGTGTAGTCACGAAATCTTCAGTATGAAGCTTTTTACGGTGGGATGGTGTTCAGCATGAAGCTTTTGATTGTTACTCTTTGGGATGCGTTTGCATTTTCTATCAAGACGTGCTCTTTTGTTTATGTTGGTAATTTTATTTTGCTGCTTTGCTTTGGACTCTGTGTGACAAGAGGTCATAAGTTGCTCTCACTTTTTTCTTTCAACGGTTACCAAAACTGGTGCTTTAATTTATCTGGTATTTTTGCCTTCACATTTTATCTTTCAAGAGTTCAGTCTTAATTTTTACTGCACTTTGTGTTATTTTGGCAGTTTAATTTTATTTATGTTTTCTCTGCGCTTCTTCTCATGAAGGCTTCAGTCCTTAATTTTAATCCAAATCAGAAAATATTTTACCTTGAATCCGAATTAGATTCAGGAGTAACAAAATTATCTGTTCCGATCCTTATTATCATTTATAATTAAAGTTCCAAAGTACCATTTTCAATTGCTAAGTTAAATTTTGTGACAAGAAGATTATGGTTACAGTAAATTTAATCTGGTCACATATAAATTGCATGGTTCCTTAATGGATTTTATTGTGTTTGGAGAGGAATCTGACACTAATATAAAAATGTCTGAAAAAAATTTGCACGAACTTGTTGAGCCTAGTTGTATTTTTTCTCTCAAAAGTGAAATGTGAGGGTTCGACTCTCTAAATGGGATATATGTGCTTGAGTTTCTAGGTAATAAAAAAAATAAATTGATAAATAAAAACCTATTTTGGGAGAGACATACGAATTAAGAGCTTGTTTCAAATTAACTTTACATTTATTTCGAAGACGCAAAGCAAAGCCCACTTATTTGAAGATGTAACTCATCTTTACTTTGCATATGCAACAGGAAAAGCTCAACGTAGTTGCTCTGCAATTCGTTGTCAGGTTTTATTGTCAAACTCGGGGCATATGAATCAATGGTTAGTGGCATGTGCGGCATGGGTGCAATTGGGGCATAGATATATATATATATATATATATATATATATATATATATATATATCTATTTACTATAAAAATGTTTCTATTTGTATTTTTTATATACACTTTATGGAAATAATAATATATACTCGATTTTAATATTTTATAAGCGTGCTTAAATTGGTGTAATGGACTCTGTTACGTAACAGAATCGGATATCGCAGTCGTGAAATTTTTTTAAACTTGCACATGATAATCAAAATACACTGATGCGTGATTTTTTTAAACATAATTCGATAAAGATGGTTTTTTTAATTAATTTTGATTAATTTTTATGAACTTTTTAACATCATTTAACACGAGTAATAACATAATAATGAGTTTGAGTCAATATTCTTTTTTTATTAAAAAGCCTTAATAATTATACTTTTTATAAAATTAATGAATAAAAATAAAATCAATTTTAAAAAAGATGAAATTTCGTATCATATACAACATATGAGAATTGAAAAGTAAAAGATTGTTGAAGGTAGTTCTTTGTAGGATGAGGAGATAGTTCCACATAAGCCAATAAATCTAAGATCAGTATCCAAGTGGAGATCCAAGCAATACGAGGGACTCTTTGACAGCAAAGATTAAGAAAGGGAAGGCCGACTTCGGTACCCAATGGACTCGAGCTCGATAAGGTCTGCTTGTTAGGGTTGTTGTTATCTGTCTTAAAGGTTGATTAATGTTCCTATTTATAGTGCTCACTTCCTCGGTCAATGCCCCTCGATCTTTCAGGTGAGCCCGCTCTTACCCAAGGGTTTGAGGGTCTCTCCTCCTGACAGATGGGACATTGATAGATGGACCGCGGCGTTTTGCCCCCCATTCCGAAGAGGTAATGGTGCTCCTTAATTAATACAGATTTTGTCAAACGTCTTTCGTAATTAATGCACTCTTTGTCACTCCTAGCTCGAGCTCGGGTACCGAATGTCCTTTCCCCCATGTATTGGCCTCGAATTGAGGCGGTACCTTAAATCTCAGCCACCTGTCCACACGTCCTCAAATTCCTAAACTCAGAATGGGAAAGAGCATTCCTCGAGGTTCCTCCTTCTTGACCCTCACAAGGCTCTACCCTGACTCTACACTTCGAGGTCCCTATAACCAGAAAGGGAAGCTCGCAAAGCAAGATGCTCGAAGTCGCTTGGTCGCCCCTGCAGGAAGCAACCTCGGGGAGGAGGGGCCCATCCGACTGGAGCGGGGCGCGTCCACATGAGAGGAAGGGTAGCAACCCCTTCCTCAGCTAGGGAGTTCAATTATAGAACGAGTAGCTCGAGGATACTTAGTCCCTTTAGGGGCATGCCAGAAAAGTACTTGCCAGGTGTGTTTATTTTCAGGGGTGGCGCCACTCGAACGGCCATCTTGGCGCGGTTATTAACATTTTGCCCCCCTGCTCGAGGTCGCCGAGGGGAGAGCTCGAGCAAATCATCAATTTTACTCAAGTTGTGTACTATTATTATTATTATTATTGTTATTGTTATTATACTTTGGCATTGAAGGGTTACGTCGTTTCTGCTTCTTCGCTCCACGTGTCACTTTCTTACTGGTGCGCTAGACTATGACGCTTTGAATCTCGAGTCACGTCTTTTCGTTTGTAAGGGGCGCGACGCTTGGGGTGCTGGGCCCCTACCATTTAAGTCAACACTTTTACTTTCTTCAGGGCACAAGACAAATCAAATCGCCTATCTCCTTCCAAGAATTTTCTTCTGCCTGAGGTTAGACTCGCATCATGACAGCGCAAGACGATGTCCCCAACATTCCTCCTTTGGCTGAGTGGCGAGTTGCCCCTTACTTCGGTCCAAGTGATACCTTCTGGCTCAATAGTGATGGGTTGAGCGAGGTGGACGAGGTCCAGGAAAGCTCTTTCTTATTCGAAGGTGAAACTTATGCGCGTAAGGGGGCACCCATCCTTCCTAACTCGGTGTTGAGATTTAGGGTAGACCGCGGCGACTTCCCTCACTCCTGTGTTGCTTTTACGAGTCAGACCGGTCATGGCCGAGGGTGGGACTTATGGACAGATGCTATCCTGGCTGACTCTGAGCTTTCCAAAACTTTGCAAACTACTAGGATTACAGACGCTATTCGCAATACTCGCGAGCTAACCATATCGTGGGATGTTCCTGACCTCGCACTTCTCTTGTCTCGTTAGAGCCGAGACACTCATACCTTTGTCACCTCTTGGGGAGAGTTCACCCCTACCCTTGAGGACGTAGTGCAACTTATGTGTCTGAACGTGTTTGGTGAACACGATCCTAGCTCTTGGTCTCTTCCTGAAGATGAGGTCAAGCTTGCTGCCAAGTTACGCAATGGTGTTACCTCAGTTGAGAAGATCGCCTCACGCTATCAAGACGATGGCCTTCACGAGGAGTTTTCGGAGACAGGCAAAAAATGCACCTTTGTGTCACTCTTCCGTTATTACTTTCAAGATTTTCCCCCTCGCGACCAGGAAGAGAAGGAATCCTTTAGCGGTCCTAAGTGCAGGGACTTGGCTCGCCTTGCTGGCTTCCTTTTAACATGGCTATCTCGGTTCGTCTTCCCAGGCCCTCCTGATAATGGGCCCTGTCCCGATCTCATTCCTTTGGCTGTTAGGCTATCTTATGGCAAGAGTTTTCCATTAGCCGTGCTGTTCTTGGGCATGCTTTACTACGAGCTCGAATTGGCGAATGGAGCGCTCCATGGGCCGTATAAGTGTGGTGTCTCCTGTTAACACCATTTTTCTTTAGATGTTTTTGTATGAGCACTTTCCAAAATATGGCTCTCGCCCAACCGCACTACCTCGCGATAGTGGCCTCAAGAGGTCCTTTTAATGGCATAAACATAGCTCAAAGAAGAAACTAGCATAAAACATCGATAGAGAGAGCTGCTTCATGGCTCGCCCCAACATTCAGGGTCCTCGCGTTGATTGTTGTTCTTCAAAAGATGGCATGGTCATTTCGGGTAAGTCTCTGAAGCGTAATCCAACCTTGACCATTCTTGCAATGTCCTCTGCGGGTTATCTTCCTGCTCTCTTTCCTCCGCATTTGGGGGTGGGTAAGGTTTATAATCCTCACTGGGTAGCTCGGCAATTCAGGTGGGATCAAAGGCTCCCTCGGGACTATGGCTATGGAGCTCGTCAGGACCATAGCACTTATGCCCTAGGTTTTTCTCATTTCCTTGACTCCGGGGGGGCAGAGCTCGTAGGGAATTGCCAAATTCTTCATGTGCCTCCTTCTAGGGCGGGGCGATATGGTGCGCAAATAAGGGCCTACTGGAAGGAGATTATTATTTCTTTCAGAAAATTCACAAGTAGCACTCCAGTCCCTGTTCCTGCTCGCTCTATATTAAAAAATGATGCCTCGTTTCGTCCTTTCAAGAATACCTCTATATCTGCTCGAGGTAAGCCTTGTGGTACAGTCGATTTGCTTCCCCTGGCTTTGTCAGATGCTACTGCGCCTGTGATTACCCTCCGAACTACCAAAGCTCGTCGTGACAAGCGCAAGGCTGACCAAGATGTTAGTACTTTTGTGCCCGTCTCTACTACCACATCCTCAAAGCGAGCCAAAATAAATGTTTCCATTCTAACCTTAATTTCTTTATCATTTCCCTTGCTAATTTCTCTGTCTATTTCTAGGGCGTCGTAAAGGACGACGCCGCAGCCAAGGCTTCTATTGTTCCTTTCGTGGCCTCTCGTCCACCGGCTCAAGTTGGGGTCTCTTTGGGTACGAGGTCCCGATTTGCACCTCCCAAGGATGCTCCAATTAGGGGTACGGCCGCAACTGATATCGTTCATGCCTCTTAAATGCATGAAGGTTTAGACATTCCCCCTAACCCCTTGCATACTCTTGCGAGTGTTCTAAATGACCCTGAGCATGCGGCGAGGGTGGTATTATCATCCGATCTGAACCCCCCCCCCCCCCCCGACGCCCTCGTGGCATGGGATAAGGAAAGAGCTGATACCTTGGCCTGTGGTTTGGGCCATTTTGATGAGAATACAGGAGTTGTCAATACCGAGGTCGATCCTACCATGGGAACATTTAATTTCAAGAGAAGACCTAGTCATTCACCTTCCAACAGAGGTACTTCTTTTTTCTTGAAGCAAATCTCACTTTTCTGCCTTCCCCACAAAAAAGAAAGCAAAAGGAACACTAACTGTTTGGTGTTTTACAGATGTCGAGGTGGACGTGTCTGATGCGGTCAAGGTCGTTGCAAATTTCGAGGACCATCATTCTGGCCACAAGGACGATGGTAGTGATACCGGCACATTGGTTGAGATTGTCCAAGAACTTCCTTGGGAACCTATTATCGAACTGCAACAAATAGTGGAAA